AGAATTATTTCATTGGAAAGAAGTTGTCAATAGTGAAATCGAATCCATAATGCATAATAATACTTGGGAATTAACAAATTTGCCATCTGGTGTTAAGCCCTTGAGTAGTAAATGGATTTTTACAAAAAAAGAGAAAAGTTGATTGATTTATTGACAAATACAAGGCAAGACTGGTTGTAAGGGGTAATAATTAATGAGAGGGACTTGACTATTTCGATACTTGTTCTCCGGTTACCCGAATACATCCATTAGAATGTTAATTGCTCTTGCAGCATTTAATGGCCTTGAAATACATCAAATGGATGTTAAAGCTGCATTTTTAAATGGTAATCTAGAAGAAGATATTTATATACAACAACCGGAAGGGTTTGTTGTTGTCAGACAAGAAAATAAAGTTTGTCTTCTTGTTAAATCTCTTTATGGTTTAAAACAAGCACCGAAACAATGGCATAAAAAGTCTGATGATGTAATGTTGTCAAATGGATTTAAAATCAATGAGTGTGATAAATGTGTTTATATTAAGACAACTCATAATGGATATGTTATTGTGTGCTTGTATGTTGATGACATGCTTATAATAGTTAGCGATATTAATCATATTAATGTCATTAAGCGCATGTTGACTAATAGATTTGAAATGAAATATATCGGTGTTGCAAATGTAATTTTAGGGATTAAAATTCATAGGACATCTAATGGTTTAGCTCTTTCTCAATCTCATTACATTGAGAAAGTTTTGAGCAAGTTTAAGGGTTTAGGCTTAAATCCTACGAGGACAACCATAGACATTAATTTGCACCTTGCCAAGAACAACGGCCATAGTGTATCTAAAAAAGAATTTGCTCGTATTTTAGGCAGTTTAATGGACATAATGAACCGTACTAGGCCTGATATAGCTTTTATTGTTAGCAAATTAGGCCGTTTTACGAGTAATCCAAATAGAGATCATTGAATTGAAAAGTGGTAAAATGTGTATTGGGTTATCTAAAGCAAACTCAAAATTTTGGTTTACAATACACTAAATATCAAGATGTACTTGAAGGTTATAGTGATGCAAATTGGATAACTGACTCCAAGAATACGAAATCTACCGGTGTATATTTATTTACACTAGGTGGAAGGGACGTATCTTGGAAGTCACTAAGCAAATTTGTATTGTTCGATCTACCATGGAGTCTGAATTTATCGCTTTAGATAAAGTTGGTGAAGAAGCTGAGTGGCTTTGAAATTTTTTAGAAGTTATTCCTAATTGGCCAAAACCTATGCCTGCTATTTGCATACATTGTGATAGTCAAGCAGCTATCGGAAGGGCAAGGAATGTAATGTATAATGGAAAGTCTAGACATATACGTCGTAGACATGATACCATTAGATAACTAATCTCTAGTGGAATTATCACTTTAGACTTTGTAAGGTCAAAGGATAATATTGCGGATCCGTTAACAAAATGCTTAACTAGACAGCTAGTGGATAAGTCATCAAAGGGAATGGGGTTAAGACCCATCAATTAGTTATTGTAGCGGATACCCAACCTAGTTGAATGGAGATCCCAAGATCTAGGTTCAAAGGGACAACCAAGTTATGATAATTGTAAGAGCACAATAGAGTACAAAAACTCTAATCCATTCCTATATGTGACATTGGTGCTTATACGAGAAAGGTTAAGTTTAAGCTTAGCTTTTTAATGATTTTAATTAGAAGGTATAGAATTCTCCAATGTAAGTGTGAGGACGGGCCGCCTCTATGAGAATTTTGAGGTCGAATTCTCTAACACACTTGTAGAACCAAGAGTGTCCATGGCCACGACGGACATGAACATGAGAACAAACTATTTCAGAGAAATATTTGTGTGATTTCTATTGTCTAAGCTTACAGTTCAAAGTTGGATATTCAAAGTTGAAAATACTACTGATCGACTGAGTAAGCTCGATGGACTTCAGTAGGGGTGGTTCAAAGTCGATGACTACTAATCCCAATGCACATATTTTTCGTTGAGTAACCACAACATACCATACCATCATGTTTCATAATGAGTTTTTCTCATTAATGTGGGGGATGATAAATTTTAATTGTTTGTTAATATGAAATTCTTCATTAATGTGGGGGATTGTTGGATATTTATTTTATAAATATTTTTTATATTAATGAAGAATTACATATCTAATGTAGAGTTGTGTTGTATGACTATTGGATTGTATACTTGGATAATTGTAACTTTTCATTGGTAATTGTTAATGTGGATAATTGTATTATTTCATTATTAACTATTCATTAGTTATAATGGATAATTGTATCTTTTTATTACTTGCATCTTTTCATTCATGTTTCTTTGTCTATAAATAGTTGTTGGTTGTTCTGATTTATTGATATGGAAGATTAGTTTATGATTACTCTCTCTAAATGTACATGCATATAGTTGCGGTTACTCTAATCTAGTTTGTTCGTTGGTTTCTTATAATTACAATACCATTTTATAAGAAACGAAACCCGTTCTATCATGGGAGACAATTGCTTAATACCTTGGGTATCATAGAGGGAGCAAAATTGTCTTAAGGACACAACGTTATTTGTTGGGCTTGGGTTATAATAATTATATTTTTAATCAAGTATAAAGGTATGTGTAATGTTTAATTTGTTTTATATATTAGATATATAATTATTTAATTCTTAATATTGTTTTCATATAATATTAATAACAATTTGTGTGTCTTTTGATTGCAACTTATACATGTCGCTAAAAGAATTGAGTAGAAGCATGTACGAGCTCTTCTTAACCCAATTTTCATAACATCATCCCTGCACCCTCTCTTTCGTGGCTAATTTAAATGATCCATCAACATTTACATGTGCTATAAAAAGTTGTTGCCAACGCTCTACTTTATTATCCATATTGTATTATGTCAATATCCACTTCCTACAATTGTGAAGTACATACATGAATGCGAAGGTAGGTACATTTCACATGACGCCTACAAAACCCAATTCCAATTTGAATTAAAGGAGATATGAATAAAATACTAATTAAACTCGACCCAAAATCGACATCTTGCACTATTTTGGGTATACATTAAAATCTATAATAAATATTGATCTTAATCTAATTGGACTAGAAAGAAGACTTCTAGCGCGTTATTATGATACATTATTTACCTTATTCCGAGTTCGAAATCCAAATTTGTGGTAATATAATATCATCTTCCCAATTGATTTACGCGACATGTGAAGATTCAACATGACATGTAAAATGAAGGCATGTCATGTCCCTCTTTGACTTTTAGCATGTCACGTCAATTTTCTTGGTTTTTTTTTTCTCTTTTAAAGCCCATTAGTTAGTCTATAAATTTTACGACTTATTTTAGGCATGAACGAACGGTTGTTCGAGAGCCCAAACGTGTTAATCCGGTTAATCAAGGTGTAAAAGGTACTATCTTGAGGGGAATTTCATTTAATTTTTTCGGTTTTATTATTTTATTAAAGCTTACTAACGATTTATTCATAGTGTAGTTAAGATGGGCATGGGTCGTGCTGGCACGCGGGCGGCACTGGCCAGGCACGGCACGGCGGCCCACTTGTGGGCCATGGGCCGTGCCGTGAACAAAAAATTAAAATTCGGCACAAGCATGGCGGACGGCCCGATCGTCGACGCGTCGGCACGACCCGTGGCACGATCCATGCCCATTATATTAAAACTTATTTGATTAAGTTTATTTAAATAAACTTATTTAATTAAGTAAACTTATTTAATTAATAAATAAATAAGTTTATATATATAAACTTATTTAATTAAGTTTATTTATATAAACTTATTTAATTAAGTTTATTTATATTAACTTATTTAATTAAGGTTATATAAATAATTTATAAACTTAAACATAAATTATTTATATAAACTTAATTAAATTAAAGTTTTTCAAAACAAAAAAATATTAACATTAACATAAACATAAAAAAAATATATATATATATATTATTTATATAAACTTTAGTTGTTTAATATATATATATATATATCGAATTTTTTTTATATACATATACATTTTTAAAAAAATAAGGGTTGGCCCGCAGCCCGGCCCGGCATGGCCCGCTAGACACGTGCGTCGTGTCGTGGGCTGGGTGTGCCAAAATTTGGTACGGCACGACACGATACTCACCTTACTAAAGTATTTTAAATACACATTCGAAATAATGAAATATGTGACTTTACTCTAATCTTATAGATTCAATTATTTTATAGTACTTTTTTTTTTAATAGCAAAAATATTTCATTAATTAAAAGTCATACGACATCTACAATATAGATTCGACGTTAACAAATACATAAGATATTGAATCAAATAAAATTTTCCTTCATAAAAACTACGATCATCGAGTAGGTCTTGCACTGTGGAACATCTCCCACTTATATCGCTGGAAAATACAGTCTTGTTGAAGAGACAATCTAACGATCCTTTGTAGCCGTGAGGATGTTTTTCTTCTTATTCATATGTCTGCATTCGAAAACTTGATAACTTTTTCACCAACGAAATAATTTAACGACAATCCATTAGATCTAATATCATGGATTCATAACTAAGAAATTTCTCCCCCGAAAAGAGGAGATAAACCTTGTCTTTCGAAGGAGGTCGAAAAACCCTTGTCTTTCGAAGGAGGTCGGAAACCCTTTCTTTCGAAGAAAAAAAGTTCCTCCCAAAAGGAGAAGCATTATTTGAAAACCTAAAAAAGCTTTAAAGAAACTAGGATTGGGGCTTTCCACCGGTTAAAACCGATAAAAGCCCCTTTAAAATTCAACAATGGAGGCGATGGTTTTGGAGAGAGGAGAAATATTTACAAGGAGACTTTTTATACGAGGTAATTACATTTACTTATTTTATTTCATTACTTTGAAAAGAATGAAAACTACTATCATGGTTAGGTTACTTTAATTGCTTATCATTTTTTTATACGCTTTATTGATTTCAATATTATTTGCTATACATAATTTATTGCTTTATTCGCCATGATCATCAAAATATTTTCCATGATCAGAGTTAGCTAAGAATTTGCCTGTACACCCTAACCAACACGGTCCAAATCACAAGGAGTTTCCTATGTTAATTTTCATGCTGACGAATATAACAAAAAGGAGACATAATTGAGCACCAAAATTCCATCTTATACGTTACAGAAGGCATAAAATTAAATTGTAACTCTCCGTACATCAGAAATTTGCTCATTTAGAATTAAGGGCAAATGACAATTTTGGCCTTGACTTGTTCTTGCCAAGTAACTTCATCTGTTTTGCCCGTTCTTCCTCCTCTTGTTGTTTCTTTCTCCGCATAGCTTCTTCCTTCTGCCTTTGCATCTCTTCCAATTCCCGATATCGTTCCTCTTCCTTTCGCTGTTGCTCTACTGCTTCCGTTCTCTGAGCTTCCTCAAGCCTCCGCCGGTTTTCTTCCAGCATCTTTTCAAGTTCTTCTTTCTCCTTTCGAGCTTGTTCCTGCAAGCAGCGAGAACTGTCAAGTATATGGGGCCTACGGTTTTCTATTTATTGATAAGGAGAGACTTGGCTGGAAGCCTGGAAACCACCATACTCACAGAATTTCTTAAAATTGTACAACAACCTAATCAACAACTAACATAGACAGCAAAATCTTGCTACTTTTTACCTCAAGCATGTTTCTCACCCCCGAACTCAGAACCACAAAAAAGATAGGGAAATTCTATGTTACAACCCTCCAGACTTCGAAATTCTACGCTGTATCCATGGTTTTTGAAAAGTCCAAACTATGATCCCAAGGTCTAGTTAGTAACTCTGTGGTACCCTTGCGTTAAGTTTCCGTTAATAAAGTTCCGTTATCTTGGGGAAAAAAAACACCAACCCAGTAACCCAGCCAGCCGCTGCAACCCACGGCCAGCCCTACCCCGTCCCCACGAGCGCCGCCCGCCACCCTTCCCTTAAATACCTCCCCTTCCCTTAAAACCTCCCGTAACCCCTCCCCCTCCCCTAAAAAAACCTTAAAACCTCCCAGACTGCCAACCGTGTGAGATTTTGCTGGATTTCGTGTGGTTTTTGAAGGGGGAAGGGGAGGTGGTCAGGGCATCACCGACATTGGGGGAAGGGAAGGAGTTTGGGCAGAGGCCGGCGCTCTTGAAGAAGGGGGTTGGGCTGGCGGTGGCAGCAGGCTGGCCATGGGGGTGTTTTTGATTTATTTTTTATTTTTTATTTCCGTAAGCTAATCATATGCTGCTTCGTTTAAGTCTTTAAGATAACGGAACCATTAACGGAAACTTAGTGTCAAGGGTACAACTGAGTTACTAACTGGACTTTGGGGTTACAGTGTGGACTTTTCAAAAACCTTGGACACTTCATAGAATTTCGAAATCTACAAGGTTATAACGTAGAATTTCCCAAAAAGATAATATAAATTTAAAAAAAAAAATAATAAATAAAAAAAAATTAAATTAATTACTTCAGTTTACTTTACCTCTTTCCGCTGAGCATCAAGTTTGGCAGTTAGCTTTTCTCTCTCGAGTTCAGCAGCAACCTCTTCATGTAATTTCTTTCTACCATCCTCCAACTGCCTCTGTATTTCTAGCTTGATTTCCTCAGAGTTCAGGCTGTCAGCAACTTTTTTACAAATTGTTTCCTCCACTCTTCTAGCAGTTTCCTCCTCAATTAGTTTTAATTCAGCTTCCTGCTGACGCCTGTTGGGAAAGGGGAAAAGGGTATTAATTACAAATATCATAGCAATATGGCACAGAAGCGGACACACCTTGCCTGTCTATACAACCAATTGCCAAACATCATCTACAACATGGCAAGGCTGCTAAAAAAGTCTACTGTTAGTTATCAAGAAACTAATTGAACAAGTTTTTTTGGTTGCTCTCCTTTCCCATTCTGTAACCAATGACTGGCAAACTGACCTTTATATTATATTTACGCTTTTAAGGCATACCTCTAACTGAATCCAGATCCAAACAATGACAAAACTTGTGTACAGTAGATAAAGGAGGCAGCCAATGGATCATCAAATATAACAAGTTGAAACAAAGCAGTATCTTCCTTCAGAAAAGCCTGTGGAGGAGAATGTCAAGTAACCTGCTGCACTTAAAAGCTAATCATGAAAATATTTAAATTCAAACCTTAAATATCTGTATATCTGTTTTAAACAAATATAATCACCCAATACTTTTGAAGAATAGTGGGTAATTCTGACAAAAACCAGTTCATAAGACCACCAAGACATCAGCCTGATCCAATCCAAGCCAGCATCTTACTTTATTGATTAATCTGGCTGATTTTCTAGTAAACTAAAAAGGAAACTTGTGTACATGCACAGTACCAGTTTTTACTGACCTACATGCAGAAACATATTGTTTCGTCGCCTACAGCCCATCAAACCTAAGAGGGCAAGAAAACTAAAGGAGGAGAAAGGAAAAGATGTTCAGGTACTACACACACAGCTATGAAGCATATAAAATCCAATTCAAAACCAAGACTCTTGCCTACTGCAAAAATTAACATTCCCTTGGTTCCAAAATAAATGCAACATGGGGGAGGACGGACAAGGAAAAGTACAGAGACAAAAAGAGGGACCCACATAATGGAGAGATAAAGTGAACAAAATTACAAATTACCAAATAAGGCAGTGGAACAACTACTTTAAAAATTCATTAAATGGGAAGATATGCAATTATCAAGAAATGGAGGAAGTATCCATCTTCTTATGCTAGAATTGTATCATTGGAATATTCAGGACGGTTCATCTATGAATTACACAGGCTGACAAAATATCCTGTGTTAAGCCTTGATGAAGTTCTATCAACAGCAAAAAAGAATGCACTATACACTTACAGCTACACAAAACATCCTCTTCATCAAAAGAAAGTTTCATGGTCCATTTAGACTTCAGATTAACAACACAACAAGGGCCACAAATCAGCACATAAAAATCAATTAACCCAATAATAATTGGAAGAATTATAATCACATAAATGTAGCTACGATCAAGAATGGAAATATGAATATCAAGTTTTTCAACCTTCATAAGACAAAACCATGGTACCCTAACAACTATTTAGACATCCAGAAATCAGTGAATTCATTAATACTATGTACGTCGTAATATCAAAATAAACCAACATTTGGTTACAGAAAACCATTATAGCGAAAATAAACTTCAGACAGTTTCAGGGGGTTTGGGTGGAGTAAGCCCGGGGGGTGGGGAAAAGCTTTGGAAGGCAATTTCATTAGATTGGCGGCTCCATACATAGTATGTATGTGTATAAGCAAGGATTTTGTATGCAATTTACGCTAGATTACAAACTCGGATCAATGATCTGTTACCATATGACAGACTGGAGCAAGTAGTATCATTGCAACTCTAATTTCCACCTTTTCAGTACCTCTCAACATAACAGATTAATCAATATGAAGAAGGGTACTAATTTACAAATGTACCTTCAGTTCACATTTCATATATATATCTATCAAAATATAACATACAACGCATAATATAAACATTATACATATAAACAAACAGAAGACACAATAGAAAATGTTATACAAGAATTTTAAGATTATAAATAAGCAGAATCAAATACAACCTCTGAAGCCAAATTCAGATTCCAAAGACATACTATAGATTACAATGACAATTAGAACTTAAACTATCATATGAAACAGGGGGGAAAATCATATTGATTAAAGAAATTTCAATATATATACCTTTGCTTCTCTTCTTCTAATTTCAACTTCTCATTGGCATTTTTCTGCTCTACTGAGTCAAGGGTTGGACTAGGAGTGTGTACCGGAGACAATGAAGTGCTGTTACTTCGTCGCCGTCTATAGCGTCTAGGTGATGCTGAACGACTTCTATGACGCCTTGGGGTGCGAGAACGATTTTGGTGGCGACGGGGGGAAATAGAACTTTTTCTTCTGTAGGATAAAAGGAAGACTGTTGAGAGAAAATCTAATGCCTGCAAATGATGCAATACTAGATGAAGAGTAAAGGTGCTGACACTCCGAATCACAATTATTCCAAAAAGCACTTGTCTTTACCTCATTAAAAAGTAAACAAAAATCTTTGTGGTGCTCCATCTTTAATCACATGATGTCGCTTATCACAATGGTGGAACAAAGTAAAGCCAGCAGCACATATTACCTGCTCACCTCCCAATAATGGGAAGCAACTTCTCTCAAGACTTACAAGGAAAGAATTGTATCCTATTCTTAGAACATTCTACCAATTAACTCTCCTTTAAAAAGAGACGTACAATCTTCACAACTAGGAAAGCAAATGAAAGGATTGACCTTAATTAAGCAAAACTGAAGAATTACACAGCCAGCAGTACCCAATGATGCAAGAAATCTCAGGAAACCAAAAACAAGACGACAATACCTATATAGGAGAACATGGAAGCTCTGCAACTATGATTTCCAGTTACTACGTAGCTCATAATAAAAAAGGAACACAACACAGCAATTATATTGCCTCAGCAAGGGTATTTCAACCTAAATATAACATTCTAAACATCATGTTAAGATATTAACACAAAACTATCAAAAGAGAAATAGTTGATTCAACAAAAAAAACAGGTAAACAAGAGCGGAAGAACAAACGAATAATAAATGGCCAATAATCATGCTCAACCTCATGTGAAATAGCCTTTATATAAGTGCTTGTATGGTTGAATATAGGATACAATTTGTCTTAGGAAGTTTAAGCAATTCCTAGGAAATGCTAAGTTTTGTTTGGTTGATCATGGAGAGTTTAACTTCCAATGGGAATTCCCACTTACCTAGGAGGGCCTAGGTAGGTACTTCCTCCAATTTGTGGGATATAAATTTCCTAGAAAGTTCAAAATACCATGTTTTAATTTGTAAACAACCAAACACCATCTTCTCAACTTCCTACAATATTTCAATTCCTAGTTTTCATTTGTCATCCAAGCAAGCACTAAGACTAAGTGCCATGCCTCCACTAAATGTATTACAAAAAAAAGTAGCTTGTGAAATTAAATTACATTTTGACATTACTGTATATATACTTGCACTTTGGACCGATTTTAATGACCAATTCTCCATTATTTTTTTATAAACAGGGTAGCCTCGCGATTCATAAATATCTAGTATTTCAATTCTAGAGACGATTGGTCCATAAGCTCCACCCTCCAATATATAGGCACATTAAATAACCCTTGAGAAAAATTATTCATACCCCAAAATTAAAAATACCCACAAATAAACTCTAAAGGTTGTGACATACAGTTTGAAAAAATACTCTCCATCACAAATTGATTACATTCATCAATAACAGTATGATCAATCCAAAATTTAAACCTACAAAAATGGTGATTACGGGGAGGGGGTTTTCGGGGAGGGATTGAACGGGGTCACCTGCTATAAGGCGACGGGCTTCGTCCCCTATGTCTTTTTCTACTACGCCTATAATACGGCGGCGATCTCGACCGAGATAAATCTCTTCCCATCACAATTCCTCACTTCTTGTTCTTCCTTCTTTAATGGAGTTTTCGGATAATGTTCAGAAATTATCACAACACAATCCAATAGCAAAAATAATCTGTACAACCAAAAAAAATGGAAGAAACCCAATCAGCAAACTAAGCTAATTGAATTTGATGCAATTGATTAATCAGAGCATAATGAAAAAAAAAATCATATGAATAAGAAATTAAAAACAATAAATACGTAGGAAAATCATGCTTAATATTGATTAACCTTTGATGAAAATAAAGGGTAATTAGCATGTGAAAGATGTTGAGGAAAATTAAGTAGCACCTGAAAGTATGTGATTGAGCGGCTTCCCTTTATACAGGGGAGGTTGAGAGAGATGAATGGTTTCAACAGTCAAGTGTTGGTGCCAAACCCTAACCGATGAACCACTAGAAAGTTTTAGGATTTTGGGGTTATGACTCTTCTGACTTTATGAGATGTATCATACGCAAAGATGTCAATTCGGTTATTTGGGTTGGATTTGGAGTTGATCACGCGGTTTGTTTTACCGTACTCAATTTCAGAGGTTTTTCAGTGCGGCAAGCCATATGATGCGGCAAAAGTTACTTGTATTCTAGTGTTACTTGTATGAGTTACTTGTATGTTGTTACTTGTATTATGAAGTTACTTGTAGGTTATTACTTGTATTATGAAGTTATTTGTATGGGTTACTTGTATTCTGAATAACTCCTACAAGTAACCCCATATCAAACCAGTAATACCCTACAAGTAATCCCTGACCAAAACCAGTAACACTCATACTGGTAACTCTAGAATACAAGTAACACCTACAAGTAACCTCTGACACCAGTAATACCCTACAAGTAACCCATGACCAAAACCAGTAATACCCATATAAGTAACCCCATAATACAAGTAACCACAAAATACAAGTAACCCTTGACAAAACCAGTAATACCTTACAAGTAACCCCGGCCGCACCATGTGGCCAGCCGCATACAAAAATTTGTAATTCAATTTATATTTTTTTTTAAAAGTATGATTCACGAATAACTTTTATGGTTTGAATAGATTGATATGTTTTATTTTCCTCATCTTATCTTCGCTTATTTTAGGCAACTAGTTCTTTGAGCACTCGCGTATGTTTTATTTTCCTCATCTTATCTTCACTTATTTTAGGTAACTAATCATTTGAGCAAGCGCTATGCGCATACCCTCCTGACGGCAAGATAAGAAATCTCGTGGATGTGTTTGATTTTTTTTATTATATTTGTGATTATGTTTAGGTTTTGTAATAATAAGGATACTTTAATTTAGAAGTTGTATTAAGAGGTAGTAATAAAGTTTGTACGGGTGAAATTGATATTTGGGCTTTTTATAGATGGTCTATTTGAAGTGTAATGTTTGGAACTGCATTGATATTAGTTTTAGTGCAATATATTGTTTTTGGTAATGTTGTAAAACTTTGTAAAAGCAGGTTGTTATGCGTATTAATTTATTATGTAGTTGCATAATAGATTAATACAAATAAGGATCAACCTAGTGTGATATATGCACGGTGTATAAAAAAAATGACTGGCAAAAAATTAAAACCGTAGCCAACACACGTGTGTATAGATAATGCATAAAAGCTACTTTCTATTTTGAGATGTTTTAAATAATGTATTGAAGTGAAAAATTTGTAAAGATGTACAGTATCGTGGAAGATATATTGACTTATTCTTGCAAAAGTGTTTTGATTGGTCAAATTGGGTACTTGAATTTGACTACTTTATAACACTCTTTTCCTTTTTTTGTTTATCTTCTTCTCGGTCCTTTTGTTCCCCCTTTTTGGTTTTTGTCTTGTTTTCTTTTTATTGTGATAGAAATGGCGAGTATTGATAGTACTGCTACTTCTACCAAGGTTTTCTCATTGCCTATCGGGAAGCTCAATGCAAACAAATCAAAGGAGGAGAATATTTCAAGCTTTCTCTTGTATTTTGCCGATGTTACAAAGTAGATGAACAACCATCTGGAAATATTGCGACAAGGGAGTTCAAAGATGGAGCAAAAATTGGAAGAAGGTGAATAGAGAAATAAAAGGAGCAAGAGGTTGAAAGTGATGAGTGCAAATTGATCTTTGTTGAATCTGATAATGAGCAAAAGAAAGTTGAAATTCAAGAAGAAGATGAGTTGAGGAAGAAGTCGACACTGAGGAAGATGATGAGATTGATGAAGAGAATAAGAGCAACTTTAATTCTGATTCAGGATCAGAGTCCAAAGAAGAAAATGCTCCACAATCGGATGCATCATTTGAATTAGACAATGATTCTGATTTTGGGAATTATTCCGATGATGATGATGCTAGTGGTTCTGATTCTGGTCTTGGACACAAAATCAATTTCGCTCGTTTTGTGATGTGGACACGAAAAGTAGAAAGTAAGTTATGTTTTAGGGAAATGGGCTAGGAATTGGGTTGATTTATGAAATATATTGGAATTGAATATAGATTTAAGCACTCCAAAGATTAAATAATCAACCTGACCAATAACGGCGATGAAAGGTTGTTGTAGACACCCATTTGTGTCTCCCCAAAACCAAATCCAGTGATGAGTACCTTTCACGTCGAATCGTAATCGAATGAAGTGAAAGTGTGGAAAGTCTAGTGTTGCGGATAGTTTTAATTTCTTTTCTCTTCTCTCTGTTTTTGAAAACCTATTTTAAGAAAACAGTCAATCCAGTTTGGTTGGTCCATGATATGGATCCAATAGTTGTGTAGTTGGATAGGGTTTGAAAAGAGCTTTCCAACGATATATTATAAGCCCAATTCCGATGAATATTGAGGAAGTTATGACCAAATTACTAAACTGGGCTCAGTTTGAGCCTTATATGCGGCCCAATGATCTAGGGGGGGGCCTAATATGGATTTATCATTCCTAATGAAATTAGGAATGGTATTAGTCTTCTAGATTCTTCTAGAAGGTTCTTTTCATTCCTAATTCAATTAGCATTGATAAATTGACTTTTGTTGACTTTTTAGAGTTTTAATCAGAATAAAAGACTGTTTTGAGGAAAATATGATTTTATCCTCCTGTACAGTTAATTTCTATCTGATTTTAGAAAACGCGTCAAAAATTTAATTAGCGCCTGAGCGTGGCGCCTGGCGCTAATGTCAGCGTCTAGCGCTAACCTCGTTTTTTCGCGTTAGAACTCTGTTTCGATTTTCTATCTTTTTGGCTGATTTTCTCTATAAATAGCCTTCTAAAAACTCCGTTTTCATTCATCAATAATCATCAACTCTCATCAAGAAATTCTTAATTACTCTCTCTCTCTTTCTAAACCAACCCTTTTACAAACATAATTCCTCATACATTAGCACTAGAAACTCCTAGCATTGTTCGAATTTGCCTTCGCCCTAGACGTGAAAGGTTTAATTTCTGAGGGTTTGGTCCCAAATCTTTATTTCAATTATTTAATTTAATTGTTTTGTTTTATATTTTCCTTGAAGTTACTAACGTGTGTATTTCTGTTATTAGAAAGAGGTACGAGGCATCCAAGTAAGTGCTTTAATTGATTTATTGATTTTATGATATAGAAATCATGCTTAGGTTGTTATTTTGATTCCTAGTATCATGTTAGGATGTTTTTCTTAATTTGATATTTAGAATAACAACAATAAGTTCCTAGTATCATGTTTAGGGTAAAAGTTATAATATCAAATATGCTTATTATGATTTATGTGATGCTTCCTATATTCTTTCCTTATAGCATGTTAGTATAATGTTAGGGCTAAATATTTGATCTTTGATGTTTAGTGACATGCTAGGGGTTGTTATTAATCTTGTTAGTATCATGCCTAGGATCTTGCTATTATTATTATGCTTTAACATGATTATTTTAATTATGGTTATTATTGTTATGATTATTATTATTGTTATTATGATTATTATTATGTTGCTTGATTATATTTTATTGTTATTGCTTGATCACAACTTTTATGCATGTTTAAAGAAAATTGGTACTTGTAATCATGATTAATAAGATAATTAATAATCTTGTTTAGGGTTAATTTGATTATAACTCAAGTGATCGCCAATAATAGTTTTATTTGTGCATTAATATTCAACCAACATAGATAAACAGGTTTAGGGTAAACCTATTGATTGCATGTTAGTCAGAAAGCGCACATGAATACGATTAGAATAAAGTAGAGGCCTATTATTAGGGCAGGTTCAATCTCTTTTGGGTTGGATTTGTACCTTCATCCCCGAACTACCATTGGAGTTGACGATCTCAGGTGGTATCAGTTAGCCTCTTGCATGAACGCACTTAACCATATCAATCAATTAATTTGAAGTCCATGTTAATTTTATAATCAATTAAGAGGGAGAAATAATTTAATTATGGTTCAATTGTTATATTTAATGTGATTAAACTTTTGGAATTGATTAAATCACGCTCAAAATAGCCATGAAGAGGACCGAATTTTAACCCTAAAATGTTCGAAATTTTCAAACCCTAACCTTAATAATTTTCATATTTTCGAAAATTCAAAGCCTAAAATATGATTTTGTGCTTGATTTTGATTTAATTCGAATTGTTTTATGTTTCATAATTTTAATCGAATTGATTTATGCATAAAAATGTTTTGTGTATGATCATTGATTTAATTTTAAGAGTTAGAATTAAATTGGGATTATTTTTATGATGAACCCTAATTTTAATATTGAATATTGATTTAATTTTAATTTTTGGACTGATTTAATTTAATTTTTATAAAAGTTATCTTAATTAAATTAAAAAAAATTATTTTAAGGCCGGCAGTCGCGACTGGGTGGCGTAGCCATGGCAATAGCCGACCAGATGGTGGTCCTAGAGGGAGGGGAAGGGGAGGGTGGCGATCCTGGTGGTTGGGGTAGCAACTGTGCAAGCGTTGCACGCTGCTGTCGTGGATGCCACTGCTACGGGGTGCTGCTGCCTTGTGGCAGTGGTTGCTGCGAAGCAGCCAGCCACCGTTGATAGCCTCAGCTAGCCAACCATGGTGGCCAGCAACCATGCAATACAGTTTTTTTTTTTTAAAAAAAAAACTGTTTTTGAAAAAATACTTCGAGATAATTATAAAATTAT